AGTAGTAGTAGTAGTAGTAGTAATAGTAGTAGTAGTAGTGGCCGCACCCAACTGAGCGGAAAATGCCGCGAGGTGCAACCGCTGACATGTGCTGACAAGATCATAAGAAGTTAGGACTTGGCTGGGAAGGTGAACCATCACAATCGTTCCTCCGAATGACGGGTGATTTCCTCACCTTAGAATGTGCCCCCTCTGGTCAAACAGGGCCGGTGCATCCTATATTATGGAGACGTCAACCCCACCTGATTCATAGGATGATTCTGGAGGGGGATCTCTAAAGGACGTGCCACATAACAAATCTTCATGTGCCATCCATGTGCCTGGACACCTGTCAGCCATGTGTTAAAAAACCGATGAGAAGAACCAGTCCGACCGGTCCCTTAAATGACCTGTAAGCAATCTGTTGCAGGCCTAAGTGACCTCAAACCTGGAGATCACTTTAAAGTCAGGATGATTACGGATGTGATGATAAAGGATCGACTGGAATAATATCAACTTTCACCTTCAAAAGCCTCATGTCGCTGTCGCCACATCTCTGGAGAGATTTCTCCCACTCTCACCTTCTACTCTCCCAACAGGAAACACACTGGCCACGGCCACGCCGTCGCAAAGTCTCTTCACCCATGAGACCGTGCACGCGCGCCCGGTGTTCACCGCGCCCTTGGGGAGCCGGCAGTGCCGGCTCTTCTGCTACGAGGCGCTGTGTCTCGTCTAGGCCTTCGCACTTGAGCAAGCAGGTTTGCAAACTGAGGACTCGCTCAGCCACTTCCTGAAATCGAAGGCACCAAAAAGCTTTGAGTTGGCGAGCTTTGTGTGCCAGGTCACGGGACAGAATGGCCTAATTAATACCCAAACGCTCCATGGGACTGCCATATATGCCGATCAGTTGGGGTGGTTGGGGGGGCCAATGTAGGCATATATGGCAGTCCCATGGAGCGTCTGGGATATATAGCTTCATGAAAGCAACTATCAATATCTGTTGCTCTTTCGTCAGGAGAAAGCACACCATGCATCCCTTCTTTCTTCGACGCATCGACTCGTTTCGACTCGTTGAGAGACCCGGAACTCTCTTTCCGCCGTTCCGCCGACCGACGGGCTGACCGACGGGTGAGACGTTCGTTCGTTCGATCGTTCGGAGCGTGCGGAGAAGGATGTCACCTGTTTCATCCGAGGGACGAGCGAAACGAAGCACCGATTTTAACTAGACCTTCAGAATGAACAGCCATTAGTTTTACGCACTTTACTTGCAAAAAGAACGGGGATCCCACCACTTGACTTGACCGAACCTTCGCTGCCTAGTTATATTCCATCGTGACACTGCGAGGCCCAGCGATCTGCGATCTGAGGACATCACCGTCCCAAAGGGCGACATCCACCGCCCCTTGAAGAAGCCTCCTCTCGTGTGGTTCTTCCTGTCCTTCCAAAAACCATCCAATTACACCACCTGTCCGCCAGGCTCGGACCCAACCTGTCTGCCAAGAGTGGACCGAACCGGTCAGCAGGTGGGTTCCCGGGGCCGGTCGAGGCCGGTACCGAACAAGCATCTCCGTTGATGGATCGCCGGATCGCCACGTCGGCCAGTTGCAAGTCGTAGATGTTGTTGGACTGGACGCCTGAAGTCAGCCGCACGTCTCGTCTCAACGACGGCCGCGATCCACACGGCGTCTCGTGGTGTTGGTTTGAGGCGTTCGTTGGGCGCGGGTTGTAGCTTGTTTCGGCCCGCGGGCGTCTTCGTTGGGCGTGGTTCGTTGGGGCCCGCGGCTCAGTGGTGTCGGACATCACCGAATCTTTCGAGAGTCTTTTCACAGCCGTTCGTCTAATTATCTCATAACTATATGTACGACTAGTTCGGGTTTCTCCGATTCCTCTCCAGTTTCTCAGGTCCTAGTGGTCTCACCAAACCTCTCTTAAGCTGGAGCGAAGGATGGGTTTCAGCCACGAACTTTTTATATTGTTTGTCCACCTCTGTCCAATCCAGGTGTGTACATGTTCGAAGGCAACCGTTGGGGGGACGATCGCAGTAAACAGCTTGATTCGCAGTAAACAAAGTTGTGTTCGTTCCCCTTCTGTGGGAAAAAAAGACGGAAGTTAAGTCTGTTGTTGAAGGCCATATACAAGTCTTTGTGTCCTGCCATCGTCTGACACAAAAACATGGCAAATACAAAGTTCTTGTGTGCCATGGGCCATCTCTTTCTACCTGGACCCTTCGTCATGTCTGTTCCAAAAGCAATTTTCCAGTTCTGGAACCTCTCAAGTGATCCTATTGGGTTGCTTCTGAGTTGCCTCCATGGACGCCATCTATAAACAAGAAGCCACACAACACCAAGAGCCACAGAGAACGGTCATGAGATGTCATGAGTCATGTTAATGAATAGTCACGAATCGCCTCGCAGTCTCCAGGAATGGTTTTACAGATATGGGGTTATGGTGGGTTGATCAACAGTTGGCATTACAGGGCGTCAACAAATAAAACCCTAAGGCTTCAACTACGAGGTTGACCTGAGTCAAATGGCCTTGAAAGAAGCTGAAGGATCATGCAATCATATTCAATCCAACTGGTGATTTGCCATCTATATCTGAAGCCACTGTATCCGTATTTTTGTGGAACCTGTGATCTGAAAATACAAACATGCACTCCACATGCACTTCGAAAAAGTGAAGACAAGAGACCAAACTGGTGAAACAAGGCGTCCACATCATTTCCTCAGAGCGATGCGCGATGCGATGATTCTTGCACCCTCCGGTTATTTGAAGATCTGAACACGTCCTGTCCCGTCCTTTTTCGCTCCCTTCGCTCGCTCCGCACTCGATGCGATGCGTCCGAACACATCGATAGCTTCCGTCTCGTTCGTAAGACCAGGATCCGCCGGTGTGAAAACACCGGCAGCGTCGGCAGGGTTTAGCGGTGGCTTCTTGCGGTGGGCTTCTGAGCGTGGAGGGGTTTGGGGTCGAACCATTCCCTCAAAACCGGGATGAGACCGGTCGGGCTGTGAACGGAGCATCTGGGGAGACTTTGAGACCAATCTATGTATTCGTACTCCTAAAAATGGGCCCCCCAGTTGTACCTGTTTTTAAGTTCGGGTCATGTCCTATTTTCGAGGCTACGTCCTACACTCCATGTATTACTGTATGGGCTGTATGGAATAAATAGCCTATACATTCATTGACCCCTTTTCAACCACCATTGATTCACCAGCGTAGCTGAACCTAGTTCAGTTTCTTGGGCATTCGTAGGCTGATTCTACTTGTTGCATCAACCTTTGCCACATCTCCTCCAACTACCCGCAGGGTCACCCTGCTCCAACACGAACGAAAAACCGGGGCGCCCCATTTCTCCCGCCGTCTTTCTCAACACCGAGGCGCTGGGGTCGAACCAAAGTTTCAAGATCTTGTCACACTCTTCGAGGATGAATTGCATCGAGATGCCTCAGATTTCGATTGAAGACAGGCACCAGTACAGGCACCAGTGCAGGCACCAGTCCCCACCGTTTTGTTGACGAGAGGTTTCATAGAGTGGTCCGATTCCGTTTTGTTGTAGCCGTTGCCATTGGTGTGTTTGGACCTCTTTGTTGTGTATATGTGTTGTGTGCTTGGGCACGGCAGCGCATATACAGCGCTTTTGCTGGGCAGTGCATGGGCGCTTTTTCTCAACATAGACATGGAGGATTTGGCTCTTCAAAATCAAGTTTGAACGATGGCTCACTGTGTTATCCTGTTTGTTATCGTTATGTTGTCGTTTTCGTGCCTGTACAAACATCGATTTCTATGCTCAAACAAAGATTTTGCAACACAACACGCCTCATTGTCTTTGTGTGGGAGAGAGACCTGGTATGAAACAAATATGAAGCGTATGAAGGGTTGTATACTGTACAGGGCTACCGTTTGATGTTCTTCCTCATCGTTTACGGTGGATAGAGCATCCTTCTGGCAAAACAAACATGCAAATCTGAATTTGTGAGTGGGGTCATGCTCTCTCATGTGAAATGATCGATTGAAGCTAGTCCTGGACTACCTTTGGTTGTTTTCATTGGACATAGTCGATCGAACCCATCTTGTTTTTCGGTCTCACGGAAACTGCTTTCCAATTGTGCGCCCCACTCCACAGGTTCGATAGCTGAGAACTGAGTCCAAGACCCTAATTGCTGAGTTCAAACTAGTTCAGATCGACTTGGAGTAGATGGGTGGGTAGTAGAAACAAGTGGTGTTTCATGGTCTTAATATGTCTTAATGACTCGGAGAGGAAATCATGTCACCTCCATCTTTCAGAACAGACCATCCATTCTGACCACACGGATCCTCGTCTTTGAGTTTTCATGAGGAACATCCCACCATTCTTGCTGAGGCACAGAAGTCTTACACCCGAATCCACTAAGTCTGAAACCGTTTGCTCTCCGTTTGCTCTCCATCACTCCTCGATCGGCCCAAGAGACCATTGAGCGTTGACAACTTGAAGGGATTGAACGAACCTCATCGACGGCCCGAAAGGGAGCCCGCCATCAAAGCCGCTCTGAAGGGACCCAGGGAGATGCATCAAAGGACCTTCCTGGAATGCCACCAAGAACAGAAAAGGCCGTCTGATTCCAGCTTCCTTCAACATGACATACATCAGACATCAGATTCAACCTGTCACCCTGCCAACCACTTGCCTGTGCAAACGTCTGCTGACCTTCTACTTTGGGGATCGCCACCGATGCGGCCGCTCTCCGGAGCCCAGCGGAGCCCGACCGTTTCACATGGGGCCGGTGGCAGGTGGTACTCCACCCGAAAGGCCCGAAAGGGCCGATGGGGGCAGTGGTACCTCCCTGGGCCACCGAGACCCACATGGAACCTGCAAACACCACGCCCCGTTGGTAGAGGACCAATCGTCTTCCAGTCTGCATGCCATCAGGCTGGTCTGAAATACCGGATGTACTTGATCTGTTGGTGCCTTTCTTTTCAGCCAAACCACCACCCGTGGAGAATGATTGACCCAATCGTGGTGTCGAAGGTTTTGGAGACACCCACCTTCGTTGGGAGCATATTCTTGTAAAGTGAAGAGTTACTCCTTCTGGTTCTGGAAGACAGGTAGATTGGGCACTCATCGATTCAGGCATCTTTGCAGCTGGTCAACAACTGCCAGATTCACGGGAAGTTCTTTGGTGAGAAAAACAATAACACCGTTTCAGAAAAATACAAAAAAACAACTCTCAATCGTATATACTTCCTTTTCGGTTCATTTTGGAACAACAAGAACCTCTCCTTTCGAACGCAAAAAGAGCGGGTGGTCTTTTGGTTCAACGAACATCTGGAGCCTCAGTGACGGACGTGTCTCTGCTCGAACAAAACACCTTCCTCCATCTTCATCCCTTCTTCTGGCGCACGACCCTTTTTCTCATCATGTCTCCCCTTTTTCTCATTGAACTCCGTTCAAGAAAGGCACCTTTATACTCCTATAAATTTGGCGGCGAAGAAGAGTTTTCATTCTGAGTCCTCTCAGAATGGCGGCCAAGAACACGTTTGGAGATCGCTCATTCCTCCGCCGCTCGACGAGCCAAACTGAGCGACACTTCAAAACGTGGATGTCCAAGACCTCACGTCGCTTCGAACCGCGTCTGAAAGGGAACAATGTCTCAGACCGATCTTTTTCGGAGTTGGAGGGGTCAATGGGATATTCAGTACTGTACATATGTAATTCTTACATTACACATATATATATATATATAGTGTTTATACATTATGTTATTGTTGTTCCTGTGTCATGGAGTGTGTGGGTTACCCTAAAGATCCTGGAGAACCTTGAGAGAGTTCTATTTATATCGGTATTTCGCTTGATCGAACCCTTGAGAAAAATCACAACATAGGTCTGTGTCGCCAATCCGAAAGCAAGTGCAAAGCTTTTCAGAGTTCTTGGGGAAGGGGCATGAATATTCTATTGATTCACCACATGTATTTCAAATCTGTGGTACGTTCATGAAAAAGACTCTCTTGAGGACTGGCAACCCTAGAAATATCTTTTGCCGGATTTCAGGTCTCCCTGGCCAGAAGGCTGAAACCACTCTGGTTTCAGAAAAAGGTGCGGCGAGAGCCCCCATAGAAGATGGGAAGCTTCTGAGTTGGTGAGCTTCTGCAGGTTCCAGATTCACTGGTTAGTTTTTTTTGTTTCAGGTCTTCAGGTTGGCGATTCTTTTCTCGGACTGGCTCGTCCACCTCGGACTGGGATCTTTAAAAGAGTGGACCAGAGTGAAGGGACGATGCAGTACCGTCGATTATCCACTCCTTTGGGTCACAGGTGGTAACCAATCATGGTCCTTTCTCCTGGTTTTCAGGAAAATGGTAGAGAAGACCTCTCCGTGCAGTGGTAGAATTCTTCAGTTGCACACTCTTCTCTTCGCGCCATAAAAATCCAGAAATGATCTCTCTAGGTGATGGAGGATTCCACCAAACATACCTTGGCCATGCTGCAGTATAGAAACCAACAAGTCATAACAAGCTAGATATACTAGAACCATCTAGAACCCAAACATGACCTGGGTTTTGATAAGGAAAAAACATGTCTTGGCTCCAAAACAGGGGTCACTTCAGGGTGCAGGAATAAAAACAATCCCACCAACAATCATGGAAGTGGAGTTCACCACCTCCTTTATATCGATCTATATATATATGTATATCGTCTTCCAAGGGGGCCATGCCATCCACTTTGATTGTTGCAGTGGGAGTATATGCTGCCCTTTTTGGTGTGTCTCTGTGCCTACTTCAATCGAAGAGACTCCCGGGACACCATGCCCAAACTATGACGGACGGAGATGTGCAACGCCTCATTCGATACGGTGTCTGAGAAACATGGACATCATGAGAAATAGGAACACGGGGGAAAAAAACAAACAACACAAACACCTGTACAACAGATCTTCTTTTAACAGAAAAGACCAGCTGGCCACACCGACTTCGGCGCGTTCGGCTCGAAGGCACATAGACCAAGGAGGGGTTGTCGTGGCAAGTCATCTGTACCTCGGAGCAGGACCGGCTGGGATGTCGTAGGTGGTATAGTGGTTTGTGGTATTACACCAGGACCATCCAAGGGGTGCCCTGTCTGGAAGCCTATAAGTAGTGTGGGGTAGTCCAGCCAGGACACCACTTGGATGGTCCTGGTAGAAGATCATACTGTAATATTATGTTTTCCACATAGAAAACCTTTTTTTGGTGGCTTCAAACCAGTTTGAAGTTGGTAAATCACACCAGTTTGTTCATCCAACCTGGAAAACAACGCATCTGAAATCCTGCCATCAATGTCCCCCGCCGGCAAATCCTGATTGTGCGACCCTTAGCCGCCTTAGCCAGCCTAACCCCACCATTTGTTCCATGCTTTTCTTAGCCTTCACCTTCCTCTCTTTCTCTGCATTTCTACAAACTCAGTCAACCCACACTGCCTGAAGCACATCACCTGTCATACAAACCTACCGTGCCCCGAAAAACACCCCTTCAGCCCCCCCAAAAGGGTGATGTCCGCCACAAGAACCTCTTGCTTCGCCTCCAAAGACCCTCACACCTCCCCCCGAACGGAGACCGACCAAAAACACCGGCACCACGCCGTGAGTTCCGGGCATCACGCCGTGAGTTTCTTGCGGCCGTTCTCTCTGCTCCGTCTCTCCAGTGTACCGGGTCTCGTGCGGTCAGTCCCTGTAGGCTACACGTAGCACACGTAGCCAGATGTAGAACTGTCTACGTGGTTCCGTAGTACCGTGGTGCGGTACCAAGTGGCCAGGCACAAAGCGCCATTCCGATTCAGCTCGACACCTTCGAAGTCCACGGCCACGATGAGCTGCTCGCTGCTGAAGTACCTGGGGGGGTTGGATGGATGGAGCTGGATGGGACGAGAACACTTACACCAACACATTGGCTATATGACCTGAGTTCCACAGACATGACCTCTGCTTTAAGAGGAAAAGACCGTATGTTGGGTGGTTGGTGGTCCAAAATAGAGGTCAGACTCAGGTTCCAAAGTGCCTTTTTGGGAGTTTGGTTTGGTGCATCCGCCCCACCAGCAGCTATGGCGTGCTACGGGGCTTTCGGCGGACGGGACAGGTCTATGCTCGGTCTGGTAGTCACCTGCACCGCAGTGACGTAGGTCGCGTGTTGTTTTTTGTTGTGCGTGTTTCTGTCCCCCCGTTTTTCTACTGATAGATTGCGTGTCCAATTCTTCTGGATCCAGTCTCATCCAATAAGGATAGAAGGGATTCTCACTTTGCAGGGCCATGAAGGGTTGATCCTGCCATGTTCAAGCCGGCATCCGCCGCAGTCCGGGCGAATAAAGCAAAGCTGGTGCGGCTCGGTTGTGCACATTCCACGTTCCAATTCCGCCGAAGTGGCTTGAATTCTTGGGGTGGTGATACTACTAGAGCACTCGAAAGCATGAACATCCATGAACAAAAACGCGTGTTGACTACATGACTACAGATTGCTACAGTAAAACCTTGGCTTATGATGGAAGGAACCTAGTGTTTCACACTATGCGGCTATGAGGTAGTTCCCCTCCCCAAAAACATCGACTCTGCCCAAGGTTTGTACATTAGATCAACTCCAGCTCTGCCAGCCCAGCTGCAAGTGCTCCACGTGCTGAAGCATCTTCAACAAGCTTCCATAGGTATCCTCAGAATCTCTTCAAATGCCCAGGGATACATGATACATGACAGTCTCACATGGTACCCAAATATGGAGGTCTATATAATATATAGTATATATATATATGATTATAGATATCTAATTGTAGAAATAGAGGGCCCTACTTGGAAAGTAGATGTACACCCATACATGGCTGCATGAGAAAAGGTCTCGTCACCTTGCGTGCACACATCGGCTATAGAGCTATATAAATGCTTGCACACAGCTCGCAAGTAGAACTTGTTTGGGAGTTATACACAGAAATCGATCAGTGTTTCCATTTGCCTGCATGTTGTTCCAAGGAAAGGATGCAAAGGTCATAGATGCTTGGAGTGGCACTGTCAGTTGCTGACAGGGAGCCACACTAAACACCCACAAGGAACAGCACGTAGTGGACCAATCTAATTGTAGCCACCAATAGCTCAGCTGTGCTTTCTGTCAGATGTCAAAAGTAAACATGTTTTAATTCGAGTGCATCAATTGGCCAACAATCCTGCATTGCTTTTGGGTGGCTTGAGGATGGTTCAGGTGCACAAAAAACACACAATATATATATATATATATGAATTGTCTGGGACTGTGGACGCCCCACGTGCATGCCTGCGGCCGAGAGGCAATTAAGACAATGCCGAAGTTGGACTCGTGAAAGTCGTCGTCCATGATCTCATGCCTTAAGTGACTGACTCCCGAAGCGTTTTTGTTGGAACATTGCTGCAAAGCAGTAACCTTCATCCACCTGTTCAAAATTGAAGTAGGGAAACCACGGGACACCCATCCCCCTTTTTTAGGGGTTCAAGGTGATCCACTTGTCAGGGGCAGGCCGGGGCAGGTAGTAATCTGCCAGTTCATCTGTCGACCTCAGCGGGATGGGTTGGGGGTCCAAGAATCGACTGGGACGAGTCAATGAGGCTTGGGCCATGTTCGATCGTTTTCGCTGAGACAGCCTTTCTGTGACGCTGGGCATCCAAAGCAGGAATCGTCCTCATCCTGTCAGACACGTGTCACGCAGGAACTACTAGCACCAAAGTGTTCCTTCCCACACAAGGTGCTGGACACGCATATTTTTAAGTCTTCAGCTAATGGCAGGGTACTAGAAAACCAATATGACCAGACATCGATATTCCATTGTCCTTACAAACTGGCAGGCCAGCACCGCCTTTCCTCCCGGCACCGTTTCTTCCTGGCAAGCAAACCTTGAGACCAACCTGGTCGTATCGGCTTAACCCACGAGGGACCACAAGACATGACGCTGAAAAAGAAACAACACAGACGCGGCCAATGGGACTGCCATATATGCCGATCAGTTGACCCCTCTGGCACCACCCCAACTGATCGGCATATATGGCAGTCCCATTGGCCGCGTGTGGGCAAGACCACCTTCCACCACCCATCCCTCCACGTCCCATGCCCTGCCCTTCATCACCAGCCCAAGAGCTCTTTGAGACGATACTCCTCGCGCGAATGCTGCAGAGTGAAGTATCTACAGAACTGCACCACGAGGCCTCGGCGAAATGCACGAAAACGAGGCCGAACACGAGCGCGAAATGGACCACGGGCTCAAGTTCTAGCACTCCCTACAGCTCCAAGTACCTCCTCAGAAGGTATCTGGACCCTCTGAACCCACCCCAGTCCCACCGAAGGTACGACTGGAGCTCTATAGGCACTGGGTGCTTAAAGGCCATCGCGAGTAGGGTAGCTCCATCGGCCATGCCGGAGGCTTGGCATTCAGTTCTGGAGGCCAAACTGGGGCCGATGAATGACACATCTCCCATGGGTTTGTGCAGATCCCCGGGATGATCGTAGCAACCTCTCCAGGCCTTTCCGGATGATCGTGATCCTCTTTGAGCGACTGATGTCGACTGGTAGTAGATCGGACATACCCTTTTTGTTGGCCGGCGCAAGGATGATCGGACAAATGTTTGATGATCTTCCTTCATGCTTCATCCAGAGTCATCCGCCAGTTTCCATTTCTCATATATATGTATATATAGGCACAGCTACAGTTCGATGGCTCGCCAGCTCACATCAGCGTTCAGGTGCAGTGTCCACCCATCTTTCAGTGCTCACACTTGATATCGTTGGACTTCATGTTTTCTATGTATACCTAGAACCCAGACATGACCCCTGTTTTGGAGCCAAAACATGGTCCTTCATGTCTTTTCCTATCAAAACAGAGGTCATGTCTGGGTTCTAGGTATATCTGAAGAAACAAACACCTATCAAAACGTAAGTCCCATATGAAAAGATGTGGTTTTCCGAGAAAACCCAGGGTATTGATTGTCAGATGTTGTTGACTGAAGGCTAAACGGAGGGTGTGTGGAGAAAGGGGGTCAGCAAAAATCGCTTGTACGAAGTTAGTGCATCAAAAATACCTTCCACGAAGTTCTGCGAAGGTTTCTGGGATTTCGTTGCAGTCAGTTCTCCTACTGGCCCACCATTCCACGATCTGTCCACGAACAGCCTTGGGTTCTACGAAGGTCACGCGCCTTCCACGACGTTAGTAGAATAGGTTTTTGCAAAACCCTTTCTGTGCACTACCCTTCCGTTTGCCTTTGATTGACATAGCACATTCTGAGAACCCTGGCTTTTACGGGTATCCACGCGTTCACCATGACTTGCCATGGGTTTTCTACGGGTTTGCTGTCCACTGCCTCAAAAATGCATTTGTTATATTTGTTCATCTTAAATGGTGTCCCAATATCATCATGGGCACCTCAAAGACACAAAGTTTTGGCATGAGGACAAAACAAAATCAGGACAAGACAATTCAAGGCCCTTTTCTTGGAAAACCCGAGGATTTCACTGAAGAGCCGAGGTTTTGACCTGACCCAGAAAAGCCGAGGTCCTTTTTCTGAACCTACATTAATGTTGGTGTTTGATTCTCAAGGCATATCTACAAGTACATTCCTTGAGGATCCTTCAGCGTCGTTCAGCATCTCCCACGCTCCAAGCAAGGCGCTGCTCTTCATGGAAACGGCATTCTGCGGCTCGTAGCGTTCCTGAAACAATGCATCGAGTGAGACGCTATCCGCTGAGACCGGTGGAGAGACAGGGGGTGTGGTCCTAGACGGGGGTGCACCACATATGCCCAGGCACTATGGCAGCATATGGCAGCCATTGATGAAAGGCACAAGGTTTTTGAAGCTATGATGGCTCTTGGGGAGGGGCCAACACTTGGATTCAACAGCAAACAGCAAAAAGAGACCGGGTTTCGCATCCGCATCCGATCTGCAATCTCCATTGGATCTGAGTATGAGAACTGAAGCTTCCAGTCTGGAGTCTCGCACTGTTCCGTAGTCCAGACCATCCATGGGACAGGAAGGCTGTGACATACATGTACGGGGGTCATGAGACCACGGGGTGAGTGATGGTAAAGGTTTGTAACTATTCCATACATGGAGTGTCTATATATATATATATACAGGCTGGTTCCTTTGGTGTCGTCTGTCTGGAGGTCGAGTTCATTCATTTCCAGGTCGATGTTTTCTCCCATGGCAGCGTGTTCCACCCGCGTCTGGCAGCGTCCATGAGGCCCTCACGGCCAATCCAACGCGTGATAATTAGGAGCATTGCAGTGGTTGTTCAGCTGACTACCTTGACCAAGGATCCGCACCCAATATTCCCCAACATTTTGTTCACATCTCCTCTAGCTGGACCACTTCTCATCAACTTTGAACCACACAGATTTTTGGTACTCCAGGCTCTTGGAGATTTCCTGCCAGCACATGAGGTCCATACTGAGGTCCATATGTGGTTCATACCCAAGGAGCAACCCCCAACGATCATTTGCATCAATTGCGAGTCTGCGAAGCAGGGGCCCGTTCCAAGGCATGATGGCAAAGCCGCCAAGCATCATAGGGAGCCAGTTCCAATGCAATGCGTAAAACTTTTGCCCGCATGTCTTCCTCAGCATCGGTCATCCTTCAGTCATCCTTCTTGGGATGGTCACACATGTCCCTAGGCCCCTCGCATCCACAGGCTGGTCCAAACAGGGACAAACGAGCCCTTGACCCCACTGCGACGGTGATCCGGTCAGAGCGATGACGTAGGGCTGCTCGAACTGTTCGGTGCGCATTGAACTATATAACTGACCATTGATGAAAGAGTTCACCCTGCAAAGCACATATATATATATAATATACCTACAATATCAGAATAATTGTGGAACATGATGAATTTAAAGTCTGATGGTGCTTGATGGTGCTGACAAATGTGTCAAGTCCCCGTGCTTTGCTTGGAGCGCCAGGGCAAAAGGCCTTCCAAACACAATCTTATTCCTATCTCGGGTTCAACATGGTTCAACACAAAATCCTCATGGCTGTGGTTCAAGTCTTTCTTGGTGAGTCAAACCATCTCAAAACATCTCAAGTTTGTCACTCCAAGAAGCTAAGAGGTTCACGAGCTGCGCCAAAAGCAAGCTCGGCCAAGCTGCTAAGGCTGCCACACTACGGTCGCCTCGGCGGCTTCTTCTTTCACCGGCGGCGAGACGAGACGAGCAAGCAGGTGCCCGGACGTTGGAGTGCGAAGGCCCGGACGAGCCTTTGACTATCCTTATGTTAACAACTTAGCATAACTCGGATGGCTTTGCCAAATGAATAAAAACACACAAAAAATAACCTACAAAATGCAAAAAGCAAACCAAAAAGCACAAAAAAAGCAAATGAAAAAGCAAAAGCGAACAACAAAAAACATAGAAGCATGGAAGCAGCGCCCCCGAAAGGCGCCAAAACGAAAAGCCAAAAAGACAAACAAGAATAACGATAACACGCATAAAAAACGAAACAACATCGAAACAACAAAAGGCAAACAAAAAAAACGAAAATAAAACAAACAACATGAAAAAACACAAAACAAGCAAACATATGCAAACATAAAGGCTAACAAAAGGGGCGCAAGACAAACAAGCATGCAAACATAAGTGAAAAGTTAGGACGACACCATTGTGCTTTTTCATTTGCATGTGTCTTTTTGTGGGTGTGTTTGCTTTTATTGTGTGTTTGTTGTGTGTTTGTTGTTGTTGTTGTTGTTGTTTTTTGTTTATGATTTGCTGCTTGTTGCTTTTTGGAGTTGCTTTCTTTCACGATGATTCGATTCGATAGAGAGTTGCTTCCTGGGTCCGGCGAACACGTTCGACTGACTCTCCTTGGGGTAACTCCAACTCCTCCCCAACTTCTCCGTTCGGAATGGTGCTCCTTAATGGTTTTACTACTCCAAGGCTGTTGGGTTCCCTTCCCGCTCAGGTCGCCTTGGAGCGAACCCAAACAGCGAACCCGGTCGCGACGAAGGGCGACGAGGCGCGGCCGGCTAGCGCTCGACCGCGCCGGCTTTCGTCGGCGCCCGACATACCTCGTTGGACCCTCCGACATCGGTTAAAAAACACCCATGCAGTGAGAGTTTTTCTAGAGTGCTAGAGTGGTAGAGATCTTTGGTGCATGAAACTACCAGAGATCTTTAAATCTTTGGTATCTTTGGAAGCCAAAGACCATCACCGCCCATCGGTGTGGATGGGTGAAGCCATCCGACGAAGTCACTGGTGAAGCCATCGGCCAGCGTGCCTGATAAACTACCTCAGATGACGCGCGGACCGGACGCTGCGGTCTTGTTTGATCTCCCTGAACCTTCCCCAAGAACCAAATGATACAGCCGATGCTTGGAAAACCCAGCTCAAATCACACCCTTTTGAACCGAAACATGCCGTTCAGGGAGACTCCACCCACATCATAAAATGACTCCCTTGGTTTCCCTATAACATCTCTCTCTCTCCCTCTCTCATGGAACCAGTGGGATGTCCCACTTTTAGGCCCCCCAAAGTTCGGTGTAATTGGAGGTGGGTTAAGCCACCTGGAACCTGAAGCGACCACATGGAATCAAAAATTCAATTCTCCTCCTTGAGGCGAGAAATCTGTAGCAGCTGCCCAAGCACCCAAATTCAGCTTCGCAGTTGCTCAACTATAATCTATTTGGGTACTATAGTTCAATCCCATACCCCTTCAGTTTCCCACCTCTTTGTTCATGCTAGAGTCTGAAAAAAAAGCAACTCCTCCAAAACGTTTTCAGTGTCACAAAAAACGCCTCAAGGGGGTGCCAACAAAATCCCGTGTTTCGGTGTGACATGGTGTGACATGGTGTTCCCCGTGTTCGGCACTTCCAAGCGGCTGGCCACGCAGGTGAGCTCAGGCCCTAAGAGCTGCAAAATTACGTGGTAGAGGAAATCCTGAGGATTCAGCGAAGAGAATGCTATACGCTACCGACCATCTGGGCGTCCTGGCTGGGTCCAGTTTAGCAGTGCAGGGTAGTCTATTGGACACCCATTGGATGACCCAGGTAGACAGTCCGAAGGGAAGTCTGATCGATTTTTGGAGAGATCTGGTAGGGGAAACATCTGATTTCACCCCGCAAAATTGTCACGTTCATCTTGGGATGGTCCAATGGACCAAACTGGTCTCATCCTTACAGTTTCCGGCTGACGCAGTCGGTCCCATCATTGAGTAACACAACCACAACCACTTGTTGTCAACAGCTTGGATACCTAACAAACAAACCCATGTCAACACATAGATGACTCCAGCAGGTGCGTCCAACCCAACACGCTGGAGAGGGCAAACGGGGCGACGTGCCCGTCACGCCATGCTTGAAGAATGCTGAAATTGTTGAGCGTATCTGATGCCAACCACCATTGACACCATTGATTTGAGGGTCGTTAGGTCGCTAGCAAGTTTTTGACTACAACCTGTATTTTACTTGTCTTTCAAGCCCATCAATCTAGTACGATGAACCATTTGGAGATTGTTGACTCGTGTTCTTCAGCCTCTTCCATGGCTGTGCTTGCACCAATCGAACAAACACAAATCCGGGAACCCTTCTGAGAAGGTGTTTGGGGTGGGTGCCACAAAACCCAAATCAGCCCGCACTGAAGTTGCTGAGGGGTCAAACTGTAAGTAGTGTGTTATCGCTATAAAGCCTTGCTACACAGGGGGGGGGCATGCATATTCTGCATCATGAGATGTGTCTGGGAGAGGAGTGGTGGGAGAAAACATTGAAAACAACGCATGTGTTTTCATATATCAGATTATATCAGTATGTCTGACTGTATTTATATCATCGTATCATGTGCATCATTAGGTTCATGAAAGGGAAACACATGATCTCTTTCAACAGTCTATGATGCCTGCAAATAACTAAACAAGTACCAAGCAATGCGTCAAAGGCCAAAGGATCCAAAAATAGCGTGATTATAGATGCTTCTTTCACCCGCCATCTCTCAAAGCGAGCGGTGGTTGTCGCGAAGCGACCGGAATACCTTCTGAGGTACTTGGAGCCCTAAGGATATATTAGTTACATCATCATGTTCCCATGACGCCAAAGTAACTGCCATAGTGGTTGACTTTTAGCGAAGAAGCTCCCAACTAACTGAGACGGCATGTGACCGCATGGCCTCCGGCGCCGCACATGGCCACCGAGTTGCACTGAACTCTTTGCACGCATGTTCAAAGGACTTCTCCTGGAAGACTGCGACTGGACTGAACTTTTCACCAGTTCTACACTGAACATTGGAAGCATTTGGAAGCATTTGGAAGCCTTTGGGAGCATTTGGAACCTAGGAAAAAGATGGACTTGAACTGGCAGTGAGGGTGCTGGTCTTTGTTCGAGCTATATGCCCAAAGGCCGGCCAGTCCGGCTGTGACTGCTGTCTGCGCCCTCCTAAGAGTCGGTCGCGGTCGCGCTCAAGCCCTGAAGACGTTCGTTCGAGAGGCTTGAGACCAGAACGTTCGGAACCTGGTCTGTGGTTTTCTTTGGGATGGGCGATTCTTTTTGGGCTGTGAAAGAACCTCTCTTGGTTTCGAGTGAAGTTCTTCGTTCCGCTGTGAATTTCTTGGCCGACGGTCCGGTCCAGGTCACCTCGTTTTTCGGAGGCATTCTTGGAGGTGTTTGTCATTGTTTTTCGGTACCAAACCAGAGAAAGCTCGAACTGAGGACATCCAGTCGGACATCCGAATTTTGCTGGGTAGCTGATGCTGATCCACCTTCGACCTACTGAGTAGCACAAAGTGCAGCTTTCTCAAATTCCATTTTGACTTCTTCCTCTCTGATTACACTCACTCCTGAAAACTAACATCAACCCTGAGAATGGCACCCTGAAAAACGGTTTTCCTCTACACTCTACAAGCAGTGGTTTTCAAGGTCCATGTTAGTTTTCAGCAGGGTAGTACTTCAGTTTTTATATCTCGGGGAGAACAAGAGCGTCGATTTCTGCTTTTTGTCGCCCCTCTTGCGTGTACTCGCCGCCAGGTCCTCAACCTCTCTGAGATACATCTCCAGCTTGGAAGTTTGCTGCACAGACGATTGCAACCTTTGATGCCACAAACGATGGTGGGAAGCGGCATGGAGCCATCCGGAGCCATCGCTCTTAGGAGGGAGGGCCATCGCCATTAGGGCGGCTCGGCCATGCGAGTCTGCTCCGAAAAAGACTTGGGGTCGGAAGCACCTCCCACCAACCACTGCCAGGAGAGATTCTGGCCTGGAGGGTGTGTCATGTGTCAACGGAATTTCCAGGTGTAAACTGAGCAAGGACTCCCGAACCCGCTCTCTTCAGGCACTCCGTGATAAAACCATTACATCAAACCTCGTTGCTGCCGGACGGTTCTCTGCCACAACTGCAGGCTGTTCCGTTCCCGATCCACACCGCTCCCGGCTTCCGAAAAAGGGTTCCCCCCAAAGGATCATCAACCTGAAACAATGTCCCTTTATAGAAGCTCTCGAATGAATCTGATGTTATATCTGTAAAATCAGTTGCTGTATTCTGGTGATACTCATTCAACAGGACCTCCCATGTTCCGAGCAGGATCTTCCTTTTCCATACGTGCTTCTGTCTCCATTGGTGCTTCCGCTTCATCCGACGCCACGGAATCGCAAGCGAATCGCCACTTCGCCCCTTTCAATCCGACCGGTTTGACCACCATGCTTCACCGGGCGACGGCACATGCATGTCCAACTGCTGTATGGCAGCACCTGGGCGACGGCGCGTGCGAGACACGCAGTTCCGTGGCTCGAGCACCTGCTCGGCGGTTTTCCGCCGGACCTCTGAGACTGGTTCCGATACAAAAAGCGCCCGACATCGAGAGAGTCAAAAAGATCGGCATCTGAAGAATACAGCACAGAACGCCAGAAACGTCCGAAACTCGGAAGGTGATGCGAAGATTCCACGCTGTTGGAAGGTGATGTGTCCCGCCATTTTGTCCAAAGCTACTCGGATGGAACTCAAATCCTTTGAGATCATTGAAACATCGATCACTTTGTCTCATCGGAACACGCGAGACCTGGATCCGACTTCGAAAGTACCCACAGCACATGAAACAGGACATGAGCTACTCTTAAAACAGGTAGTTCCTTGATTGATCTTGGTTCATGGCTCATGTCCTCTACTCTTCAGTATGCCGAGAGTATGCCAGGTACGACCGCGCACGACGTGCCGGTCGGTCGAACCAGAGGTGGTGAGCACAAGGTCGAACGTAACGCCATCGCGCCCCAGAAGGGCTATGTTTTGGTCCCAAAGTACATAGAACATGATAGAATCGGTAGTTTTTCCACGACATGTTTAGTTGTGTGTTTTCCTTTTCTATCTACCCTAGGGATCACTATAGGTGTGATTCCCACGCATGGATCACTATGAGATAGTGATGTGATTCTTACACATGAAGGCATAGGAGATCACCATGATACGGCGAGAGCAAAGTGCGCAGGACTGCTTACTATATTGGTCCTTGAGGGTGTAAACCAAAGAATTGCCAATAGCCACCCTGTGCTCTTAGGATCAGGGTGGTGTTGGGGGAAGTGCCTGGACCCTCTATTTGTACCTATTTACAATGGATGATATATAAGGTTTACCTGTTTTAATAGCTTTTACATGGTTTTAATAAGGTCACAATAAAGTCGTAGTATATACAGGTGCAGTCTCTGAACACGAACCGAATCGATCTGACACAGGTGGGCGAACCGGTGCGACGCGCGCGACGCGCGCGACGCGCCGAAGGGCTGGGCTCGCTCGCTTGGCCAAGTGGCTGATCCAATGAGCGAGACCCAAGAGCATCTCTCGTAAGAAAATGTCCTGGCCCGTGGGGGCCCGCTGACTGACGGCCAAAACACATCACGGCCGTGTGGTACTATGATGTAATATGAGGTACTATATGAGGTATATAAATAAATGTAACCAAAAGCATAAAAACAACTGCAAAGATGTACCAATTTTTTTGGGGGG